GTTTCCCAGAGTTTACTCGTCGTAGAGGGAATCAAGTTTGTGTGATGGATACACCTAGATGGATCCAGTGACGGATTCCTTTGTTGTTTTCACTGGACTTACGGGTTTTAAAGCTCACTGACCCGAGGGGTTCCATTGTGATTTGTGCCTTTTTTTTTCTGTCCAGTAATTTAGGAATTACTATTTCTACAAATTAAGTGTATTGCATTTGCACAGTTGTCTGCAGCAAAGGAAAAAAACCAAAAGCTTGCATAAGTGTAATCCTTCCAATCTGTTCTGGGGAGATACATTAGATCTAGTTCCAGAATAAACTGTTTACAGTGTAGGTGAGATTAAATCGGAGATTTCTTTTATATACTTTTTGGCAACTTGATTTTTAAAGAGGTTCAGTTTAGGTCATCAATTCCACACTATTTGCCAGGGTGTTTCAAAAATGTAGGATATAGGATGGATGTGACCCAAGAAAGTGGTTGATCTGTCTTAAGTCTTGCAACTAGAAGCAGCAGACTTCTTTCCTGAAGTACAGCATTAACTCATACAGGTCACAAAGAAATCTCAGTGGTCTTCTAAAAGTTTTACAGGGGTCCTGTTTCATGTTTCAAAGTGGCTTTGAAAGAATAAAAGTGGAAATTAATTGTACAGATTTTAGTAAATCTTTCTTTTGTTGATTTAGTAGTATTTAGATACCTGTGGGGAAAGAATTTTGATTCCTTTTTTTCTTCGTGTGAATCTACACCTTAAATTTAGGCTTTAAAATGGGCTTAAAATTTGAGAGGTTACCAGCTGTGATGCTTATCTTAAATTTTATTACTCAAATTCAGTACACTTTCTAGAATTAAGTGCTAGAAGCTTGGTTTAAGGTCTGTTGTGCAATTCGTTCCGGTGTCTCCACTCCTGAGAGCTATCAGTATGCCAAGTATTCTGGTAAAGATATTAAGGACTTTGTGAGTCAAAGTGCAGATGTACATGAAATACGAATTTAAAGCTGTGAGTTCATAATTACAAACTGAAGGTGATTTCAGGCCAATAGATAACTAATTAATAGCTGCTGGTACACTTTCTATCTTCCTCCAGAACATGAATCTTAAAACATTTCGAGATGGAAAAAATGTAGCATAAGAAATATATTAATGTTTTAAGTCATTCATGTTCTGTTTCAGTGTTTCCTTACCTCTGCTTCATCTGTTTTTCTTTTTAATGCAGGTAGTTAAAAATCATGCTAAACATCAATCTGATGTCCTAAATAAGGCATTGACACTAAACCTGTACTGAAATAGCACCTTTTCATAACTGTCCTATGTTTCTTGAAACGTTTGAAAGAGACATATTTGCCGTGGTGTAAAAGTGACTTTTGAAAAACATGAGGAATATTAATATGTTCCTCAGAGGGGCTGAAACAAAATAGTTTAGTTAAAGGGAGTCTGACAGATTAATATACAAGTGCAGCTTGCCTTTAATCAAGTGTCAAGAAACACACAGCTAATGGGCTCACGTTTGGTCTGAATCTGAGACTCATTCC